ACTAATAATAATAATATATATACATATAAGTATTAAAATATTAATACTTATATTGTAATATAAATTGTAATATATATATGTAATATAAATATAAATATATATATATATAGTATCAAATATTATAATATAACTATAGTAATATTACTTACTAATATAAGTATTAAAATATTAATACTCATATTGTAATATATACTATTAATACATAATTAATATATTTAATTAGTAATAACAAAAAAAAAATATATATATTCAGTATTTGATACTAGTACACTGAACATAAAACCATCTAGTTTTTGAATGCAACAAATAAGATAGACTCTGCATCTACCAAAAAATGTATTTTATAAAATACTGATCAAAAGAATACTTGTAATGGTGGTAAAGGGTTTGATGGTATCAAGATACTTGTAATTTGTACAAGATAAGATATAATTAAAAAAAGAAAAAAAAAACCTTTTGTTAAACACAGTTATAACGAATAATCGTAATCTCGTCGCATTAAAATTGTAATCTTAAATTCTCATCATTGGTGATTACTTACTAGTCGTCGAGTGAAACATGGAACGCCCATGGAAAAATTATGAAAATAATAATTTTCATTTATCAATGTGTATCATATATATATACATATACATATATGAACGTATATGTTGGAACCTTTTCTAGTCAACAAGGAGGGTAAAATCGAGCCAAGGGTAAGTACGTAAGCATCTTTCTATGAAACCTGATAAGGTGTCCTCGTCATTGTCATACCTTTAGTCAGTCGGCAACCTTCATCGGGGGTGGTTTTTCTAGGACACTTCTATACATAATTATTGTATCTTTTTTGAAAGACCCTCTTCTTTTTTTTTTTTTTTGGTTCATAGAATCGTCAAGTTTACACACTTTATCGCGTGATCATCCTACATATAATTGAATGTCATCATTACGTGTAGAAGGAAAGAAAAAGATAGGAAGAATTTTTCTATAAAAACTAATCGTTCTTATACGAGAAATACTTCAATACTGATATTCGAATCTGGAAGGATACATAACAAGGTAGTGTCCATTAATATTTGGATTTAAGTATATCAAAGTGATCCAAGTTATGCACAAAGTTTAGACAAGATTAACTAAAAAATTAACAAAAATTAATTTGTCATTTAAGAGATTTTGATTTTAGTACTTTGAAGTGAATCAATTACAAATACTTATAATGAAATAAATTGATAACATCAAATCATACATGAGATTTTTTGAAACGTTCAATTAATTTTATATACCACTTTGAAAATATTAATAAAATGTTTTGCACAACTTGGATCATTCAGTGTCTCTCTACTTTGTAATTTTGTTGTTATTTCATTATGTATCTCGTTGAAATATTAGATACAAGATAGAATAATGCCTATCAAATGGAAAAAGTAACATCTTCGGGGAAAAAAAAGATTCAAGATTCACGTTGTAAACAAAAACGGGATCATATGTCAACGCGGAGGGTAGAAAAATCGAGGTATCTTGATAATCTTAAGATCCTCGATAAATCATCGATGACAAAGAAATATGAGGACACTGTGGAATCGTTAAAAATTGTTAAACAATTGAGGGAACGTGATAATAATTCGCGTACATTACCAATTGGAAATTATAATCATAACGATAAGAACAATTATCTAAGAGATCATAGTCCATGTCTTCCGTACACTATTAACACGGTTCATCTACAAAATCCTTACAAATCACCTCAACGTCTCGAAGGATACGCTTTACGTGACACCCATTTAAAGGTATTGCAAATGGTTTTATTTTTATTTATTTTTTTTTTTTGATAATGTGTTTAACCCATTAGCTGCCAAATTATTTTTCGTTAGAGAAATATTTATATTTTTTAAAAAAATCTTAAATGGTGATTGTGGTTGGTTGCACGAAAAAAAACCAATAAGAGACTATTACTTATTATTTCCTCTACATACAAAATAGCTATTATTATGCCATTTTTCCATACAGTCCACATAAAACCGCGAATGGTGTATGTAAAATTCCAAAATTCCCAAATGGGGATAATATCGTGGCAGCTAATGGGTTAATGTGTACGCCTCTTTAAAATATACTAAATTAAAAATTCAAATAAACCCACCCTTCATTTTAAGTAGCAATCATAAGCTTATCAAATACTTTCACAATAGTTCATATTTAATTCAAGATACTTAATTCAATAAATTGTATACTTAATCCTAATTTATTAAAAGCAACATCAATCATTAATTGTCAAGCAACCCCTTGTAGAATAGAATGAAAAGAGGTTCCATGAAAAATGATAATTATTCAGAGATAAATACCTTTGTTTTTAAGGGTATGTATCGATCGAGGGAATCGACATTAAGATCAAGATATAATCGGAATAATTTAGCTACGAGAGAAACGATAAGTTCGAAAAATTACGACCAAAATGAAGAAAAACGTGAAAGGTAAATGAACATTTTGTTATCATTTTTTTTTTTTTTTAATTTCTTTTTCCTTCTTTTTAGAAGGATTGATTGATATCTTTCTAATATAGATTAATAATTGTCTAATTTGTTTTATTTTATATACTTTGAGTGTGAACAATGTAAAAACGTGTTTAAAGAGTACAGAGATCAATACCATTGTAAAACAGTATTGCTTAAACAGTACTCTTCATGGCTTACGTTATGTTGGTGATTCCAAATTATCAATTGTAGAAAGGTAAATATCAATTAGACTAATTTATGAAGAAATATACAAATCCACAATGAATCTAAAATCAAATAAATTTAATTAGTAGCTTATTTCTCATAAATAAAAACCTAATGATACTTTAAAAGTTACTAATTACAATAAATCTTTTTCTCGCAGAATATTTTGGATTATTTCTTTCACTGCTGCTGTATTAACAGCAACATATTATATCTGGTCTTTGTATGCAAAGTGGGTCACATCACCCATAATAATTTCAATAAGTCCTGAGACTGTTTCCCTCGACGATTTTCCATTTCCTGCGGTTACTATTTGCAATATGAATAATGTAAAAAAGAGTGAAGCAATTCGTATAGAAAATGGGTAAAATATTGAATATCTTGTTGATTTTATATTGATTTGATTTAATTAAGAAAATAAGTAATCCTCCTATTTTTTTTTTTTTTTTTAGGGAAAATATACAAGAGAAATTATTGCTAGAGGATTTGTGTAATTCAGATAATTCCTCTGTCACTTCTAATTTAGGAAACAAAGGATTAGAATGGAATGTCATGCGACATTTTATGATCAATGTAATTTCATTTTTTTCATTGATAATTTTAATATGTATATAGTATTATATATATATATATATTATTAATAATTTATAATTTAATATGTATAATATTATATAAAAGTAATTGATATTGTATTATTATATATACTATTAATATATTATTATATTATATTTATATTATAATATAATAGTATATAATATATATAAAATTATATTAATATTATATATATAATAATAAAATATAAATTACTTTTCATAAGGTATCTCAATCATGTAGCGACATGTTATATTATTGTCAATGGCGTGGCAATGCAACAGAATGCGACAAGATTTTTAATCCTACTATGACCGATGAGGGTATTTGTTGTAACTTTAATTCTGTAAACCGTAATCATTTATTTCATGATCCGTAAGTAGCACGTTTCCTATTCAGAAATGAAAAACTAGTTGATATGGGAAGATATGAAATATAATTGTTAATAATTTGATATTTTATTCATTAGACGTGATTGGCCCGATTTAAATATTACTTTTTCCTTCGCTGGTATCGATTGGAATCCTGAAATTGGATATAATGAAGAAGTTCCATCGGATACTATACCATTGAGATCTTCCGGTGCTGGTCTTTATTATGGTTTAACTTTAGTTCTCGATGCTAACATTAAAGAATATTATTGCTCTTCTACAGCTAGTGCAGGCTTTAAAGTAATTATATTATTTATAATAAAGAAATATAGTAAGTAATAATCAATGAAAATAATGACAATTTTGATCGTAAAAACTTATTTATAGATGTTACTACACAGTCCTGTAGAAACACCAAAAATTGCTGATTTTGGGTTTGCCGTAGCTCCTGGCAAAGAAGTCAGAGTTATAGTATCTCCTAGAATATCAACAGCGAGTAAAAATATATTAACTATACCTAGGAAAAAACGAAAATGTTTTTTCACATCTGAGAGAAATCTACGTTATTACAGAACTTATACGCAAAGAAATTGTATCTTAGAATGTGAAGCTAACTTTACACAAGAGATGTGTAACTGCGTCCAATATTACATGCCAAGTAAAATCAATTAATCGTAGATCAATGATTATTAATAGTCTAATCTTTAATTTTTGTTTTGTATTCTTTATAGAATCGTCAAATACTACAATTTGTGGAAAGAAAGATGATGTGTGCGCTACTAATGCACGAAGAGCAATGGAATCTAAACTCTACGATGATAATCAGTTTAATGTGACCGAAGTGTAAATATATTTTGAATGAATTATTTTTTATACAATTATAAATCATTGTTATTTGATTTGTAGACCGAGCTGTAATTGTTGGCCAGGATGTTTTGAATTGAGTTATAACTTTGAGATATCCGATAGCAAATTGATGTCCAATTTTAATGTTCAAGAAAAATATACTAAGAAGAGTAAAAAATATTTTACGCAAGTATTTTTGTTAATTCTTATTTAGTTTTATATGTTAAGTTATATCAACAAAATATTTATCAATTGCATTATCAATACAGTGAAAATATGGCAGTGGTTCATATCTTTTTTGTGGAATCTCAATTTACCAAATCTATGAAAAATGAACTTTTTGGATTTACAGAATTCCTTTGTAAGTAATTATTTAAAAATAAACTAAAATATAAACAATGTTACTTTGACACAAGATGCAACTCTTAAATGCTGTATTATTGTAGCAAGTACAGGTGGTCTACTTGGTTTATTTATGGGATTTAGTTTTCTTTCCTTTATGGAAATATTATATTTCCTAACTTTACGATTGTGGTGTCGTTTAAAAGAAAATAAAAGTACTCCATCACATACGGTAGTTAAAGTACACCCTATGGATCATGACCAAGGTACAATATATCCATTCGCACAATGAATTTTATATATGTTAATAATAAATATTATATCATTGTTATGCTAATATATTTTTATACAGATTGTCCCATTTATTATGCGTACCTTCAATTTTATTTGAATTTCGCTTTAATATGTTCACTACCACAGTAAGAAGAAAATTCCAATCATAATACAGAATTTATTTTTCATCTTGATTACTTTCGTTAATATGCGACACTGAATTCTTAATGGAAATTGATGTGTGAATATGTTAAAATACTGATTTACAATTATAATTTAATGTTATTACAATACAAAAATAAAATTGGTAAAACCATATTTTACTAAATGTCATTAATATTTTAATCATTTGATATAACTAACCATGAATAATATTATTAGAAAAAAAGTGATGATCTGTACTTTGCATAGTAATATTATATGAAATATCAAAGTATATTTCAATTTGTACAATGTTGAAAATAACTTTCTTTTAAAATCATTTTTAATAGAACTTGAAAAACATACAAAATTGAAGGTTTACATGTAAATGGGATATTCTGTATATATATAAACACACATATATTTACATATATATATATATACATAAAAATATATATAGCCAAAATGAAGACCTTATTAGCAAAAAAAATTATTCAGATATTTTCCAATTTCTTTAACCTCAAACCTTTCACATGAATAGAATTATTATTTAATCTAATATTTGTTGTAATTTATACAAAAAGTAGGTAACTTGTTTCTTTTGTAATTATTAGAAATTTGATTTTTGTTTCTTTTTATATTTTAACTTACCTTTTATTACGATTTTTTCAATAAAAGGATCTTAACCACTGTCCGGTGACATCTTCTTGACATATTTCAAAGTTACTGCATGGTAAAACAATCGATCGATTACAATTATTTTTAATTATAGAAAAAATTTACGTTTGCCATATACTGATGCACCTTTGTTGAGTAATATAATCTTCTTGACGCCATGTTAATTCTTATGTTCGTTCCTATCGAAATCGAAATATCTAAATCTTTCAGTTGCGATGCAGCCATTGGCGGGAAATTTGAAATTTGTCAAAAAAACAAAAAAAAAATAACAAAACAAAAATAACAAAAAAAAGCTTATTGCAAATATTGATATATCGAATTAATACAAAATTAATTTGTTGACAAATCACATTTTTTTTTCCTATCAATTTGATGATTGTAAATTTCGAATAGATTCTATTTTACAAAAATCAAATGTCAAATCATTGCAGAAAAAATGGCGCGTGATTTGAAAAAAGTCTTATATATAAATGAAATTTACGCAAGATTTCAAAAATGAAAATGTCTCGAGGACATCATTTATTATAATATCTAGAATGTCTGATATATAATCGTGTGCTAGTTGTTTTTAATCGATACGATTTCTTATCTTAAACGATATTGTTTATATTACACGTACATTCAAAATTATCATTCTATAGTTATATTATTGACAGCAGACTAATCTAACATGACATTTTCTCTGTTATTTTTCTTTTTGTTATATCTTTTCATACAAAAAAAAAACCCTTTTTGTTATACATTATATATATAATTTTTCCCTGGTAGTTGCAAAACTCATACAACGAGTTTAGCCACCAAAATATATATATATATATATATATATTAGCGTACTTTATTATCATGGATATTATTATGTCTTGCATGTGGTATCGTAGCTGACAATATTTCTTTTTTGTTGTTTCCTTTTATAAATTTCATCCAAATAATAAATTACATGATTTATTCCAATAATATATATATATTTTTTTTGTAATCTATATAACTCCCTTTCTGACGTCCACAAAGGAAAGATTTTCCTAAACAACTCGTTAAACAAAATTTTCAACGCGTTGATTATTAAATTACATCCTACTAAAGTTATCCGAAATATTTCTTACAATATAGTAAAAATATTTTGTACCCGATGCTCTGAAACTATTTACTTCATCATCATCATCGTCGTCGTCGTCGTCGTCGTCATGTGATTTTGTATTTATTATTTAAAAAAAGAAAATGTATATATATATGTATATATAATTACAAAAAAAAAGAATAAAAACAATATTACGACAAAAGAAAAAAAGAGAAACAGATCATTTGCTATTTGCTATTCAATGATATTCTTTAAAGCATATCTTTCTCTGTTATAGAATTATTATGATAGAAGACTTAAAAATACATAATGAACAGATAATTTAATAGGAACGTCTTTTATTATCAAAGGTTCGCACTTTATGCATTATTGCCCATAATAACGCGTCTTATGTAAAAGTTGATCTCATTGCGAAAAAATCGCTCTGATTGAATTAAAAAAATTAATGAAATTGCGTACATTATACATAATATACAACTCCTTTTGTTCTACAGTATTATTATTATTAATATTAATATTATTATTATTTATTATTAATATTATCATTATTATTATTATTATTATTATTATATTAATATTATTATTAATATTATCGTTATGATTTGAAACACCGTATTTTTTTAATGATCATACGTATGTTCCCTTCATGATCAAATTTGTACATATAGTTAGCTTTTTTCGAGACTGGACAAAAATGTAATAATACATGATATAACGCACACAATACACAATCTGCTTCAAATATATTTCGTCTTGATATATGTGTATAAGTAATATCATTGTGAACAAAAAATCCAACACAAATGTTGAAGTCTTATATCGTTCGAGTTAATAATTCTCGAAGAGGTCGGATAGTAGTTTTATAAGAAGAGATTTTTAATCATGATATAAAATACTATTTAATTTTTATAATTAATTAAATTAATCTATTATCTATTATTATAAAGAACTGAAAGTTTTGTTTATTGTTTGTTTATTTTTTTAAAATTATTATTATTATTATTATTATTTATATCATGATCCTAAAACTCCGACCTAGTTTTTAATTTATATCATTATTGACAAATATTCTTCAAAAATAGTGGGTTTATTAGATCTCAATAATAAAACAATCAGTAATAAATATTGCGTAGTGAAAATAAATTGAAATAATATTGATAAAAAGGTGTTGCGTTGACATATTATGAATAAAGGATAGGCATTGTTTTTTTTTTTTTGAATGATCGTGTCAGTTAAAGTGTGCGAGAATGTCGAACAAAATCTTCCAAGATGATTAATTAATTAAGAAAAAAAAAAAAAAAATAGATGAATCTTAGGAAGACGCTTCCAGAGATTTTGATTAAAGTGGAAGCTCCAGTTCTTTGCATACAAATGTTATCTAAGAGCACAACATTACAGCAAGGAGCCACGCAGCATGATATAAAAACTTGTTAATTAATTGTAAAAAAAAAATTTTTTTTCTTATTACTTTTTTTTGTTTGTTTTGTTCTTTTTTTTTTGTTTTTTAATTAAATTAATTTATCTAAAATAAATAATAATATAGAATTTGTAATTTTATTAATATATTATGTTATATTATCGAATTCATTCAACGTATAACAAAGTTCTTATTATTCTATTGATAGAAACGACCGATGGATGTGGTGTATTTCTATCCCATCATGACAAATATTTATTACAAAAAGTAGTACAGAAATTACAATAACACAATTAAATAATATTCCTAATAAAAAAAATTTTCTTGTATTTATAATAATTACATGATTTTTCTCTTTTTGTTTGTTTCTTTTTTTTTTTCTTTTACTCTTAGATTTCATGCTATTTTTTTTTCCTTTTTGTTTGTTTTTTTTTTTCTCTCTTTCCATACTTTTGTTTCGCTCTTATATTCAATAAAAAAGAAAAAAGTTTAGTTACAACAAAAGCACGCGTTTTTAAGTTGCTCCGTGCCTCCTTGAAAATACTTCTCACAGTAGAACACTTACAATTACTTATTTACCTAGTACTTCGTACTTACATTCGAATATATTTGACTTTTTTTTTTTTATTATAAACCACTATTTTTACAATCCTTGCCGATCTCTCATTCATGGAAAAATGGCTAAGATAGACACAATATAATTATGATATTTTTGTTTTGTTTTATTTTATTTCTTTTTCTTCTTCTTCTTCTTCTTCTGTGTAAAAGATGCCGATATTTGCAATATAAAAATGTTACTTAGGACCGGCTTTGTAATAATTTCATTCATACAGTAGTTATCGTCTTAACCGTCTACAAACTTTGTAATACGGATAATAATAGAGCAGTTCGTTATTAGGTCGTTCATGATTTTGATATGCAAGAGTTCAATGAAAATAAAATGAAATATCATTTTAAAAGCACACTTTGCAAAACTGATATATTTCAATGACATTAGTTTTCTTTCTTTTAATTAATTATTTAGGTCCTTTGTAAATAGATTGCCTTATGATTCAAGAGTTAACATACACTTTGCAGGAAAAAATTATTAGTGCCATTATATTCGATCAAAGAATATTGGCAAATCTTTTCTCTTTTTTTATTATTATTACTAACATTATTATTATTATTATTATTAATATTATTAATATTAATATTATTATTATTATTATTATATGTACAATCTTATTATTCTTTCTTTCTTCCTTGTTTTTTTTTCCTTCCTTTCGTTTCAAGTACTCTTAAGTAAAAATAAAAATAAAATAAAGCATCTTTCTTTTTTTTTTTTCTTTGCTTTTCAACACTCTGATCTACCAGTCCATTTAAACAACGGACCGACCAATGTCTAACATAATTAGAATTAATTCTAACGATAACATAATATTTTCATATTTTAAGACCTGTTTGTTGTTGTATTGTATTTTTCTATTGAAAACAATAGTGTAACAAGAATATATATATATATATATATATATATATATATATATATATATATTCTTTAGCAATTTAAATTGCACTACTTAATTCAAAAGACAAAATTACAAGGAAAAAAATATATATTTTATCAATGATTCGTTTGTAATGATGACGATGACGAATAAAATAAAATAGAAATATTGAGAGAGAGAGAGAGAGAGAGAAAGAGAGAGAACAAAAAATAAAAAAAAAAAAAAGGTAAAAATAAAACAAATACTAATCTAAATCCAAAATACTGTAGCAGGTATTATGACAATATATATATATAAAAGTAAATTAAAAGTAATTGTATATCTTTATTTTACAAGTTATATCGGTAAAACAAAGAAATCCCCAATCCTAGACTCTGCAAGGATTTATTATGATATTAACAAATCCGCAGAACTAGGCACACGGTGACCAGAAATGTGATGGTGTTTCTCATAATTACACTATGAAATAAAGTATATATAGCAATATTTTATATAATAATTAATGTATACATTATAATTAAACTACATAACTTCGTACCTTTTTTTCTCAAGTATAATGTACAAAGTAAATAAGCATTTTCTAAGTAAAATGTTTTTTATCTACTTTTATATTTACTCATATATATATATACGTAAGTATATGTATATATACGTACCACGATACGACTCACGATTAATTTAATAATAAAAATCGAGAAGAAATTTTATAAAGTCAAATAGATGGTGGGGTAAAGGGGAAATAAAATAAAAAAAAAAAAAAAAGAAAAAGAAAAAAAAGAAGAAAAACCTCCCAAAAAAAAAAAAAAATACAATGTTAAATAATCAAATACAATTGCGCTAAAAATCGAATGGGTAACACCATCACAGTATTTAACTTAACATTGGATTAATCATCCCAGTTTAAAAATTGTGCTTTCTGACTATTTTATCAAGCCCACATTTATATGACTGTTTAAAGTCAAATGAATGGGGGTCCATAGCGTACAACCATATTAATTAATTCATTCTTGATATTTTTAAGAGAGTGGCGACGGTGCGCCATCACATGTAACAAGTGGGGGATATAAAAATTAATGTATATATGTATAGATTATTTAGTCGACTATCTTTCATTACAAACTAGCATCTATTTTTAGTAACTGATATTTATATAGTTCTCGGTCTTAAAATTATAAAACAGATTAGTCTGCACGTCGATAATTATTATTATTATTATTATTATTATTATTATTGCAGCTCCAATAAGATATAAGACTCGTTCACGTAGTAATATCCTTTGCTGACATTTAATCGCGGTCGTTGTCATCGCGGTAGCGTTTATTATGTTCTTTCTGATCCCGAATGACTGGACGGAAGAGGGCTCGCGCTTTTTTTTATATTATCGCGATATCGTTCCGTTCCACGACGTCCGCTTAATGCAAAGATGCCGTCAAAATCTATGTGGTATGATCTATATGTGACTTATTTATTTATTTATTATCGATTTCTTTCTTTCTTTCTTTTTTTATTTTTTTCTTTCTTTTTATTTCATATCCTCCTTTTCTTTTTTTTCTTTTTGATAAACGTCTTATTCCTTATTCTGCAGCTTTCAACTGCAATGGAACAAGATGCACCCGATGACAATCATTTTCAAAATAATTACATTGACTTTTATTATCTTTTTTTTTTTTTTTGTATTTTTACCGAAATACTTTTTATCCTTATCTCAGCGTCTTTTCATGTAAAAGGTTGTCAACGTTTGGTCAATGCTAAGAAACTCATTTTATTATATTCTTTTCTTTTCGTTTCTTTCTTTTTAAATATTCTTCCTTTCAAGACGTCACAATGTAAGATTATTTTTCAATTCATTATAGATAAACAATTTAATTATGTGTTCAAGGTGATTCGGTGATCATTAATACGCATATAAATATGCGTATGACAGTCTTCTTTAAAACTGATTCTTTTTTCATTTTAGTTGCTCTAATTATTATTTTTTTTCTTCTCTCAATGTCAGTTCTAATTGTTTTCTCTTAAAGCTAATGCAGACTGGTATTTTGTTTGTATTTATCTTTTTTTTCTTTTTTTTTTTTTCTTTTCTTGTAACGAGTTCATGAAGTTATAACAACACTTTCTTCGCTTCATTTCATTCCTTTCTTTTTCATTCTCATAAAAAGGCATTTTATATAGTTATATTTATAAGAAAACAAATGGAAACTTTACAAATTCATTTGCAAATTAATTTTAAGATAGATAGAGATAGAAATAGGAATAGAAATAGAAAGAGAGAGAAAGAGAGAGAGAGAGAAAGAGAGAGACTATGCCAGGTATATTGTGAAATATCGATTATTTATCGAATCCGATGTCGTAGTCTTCGTAGTAATTTCTATTCTGTGTAACAAAATATAAAGTAGATTTGTTATCTTTTTTTGTTTCTTCTTTTTCTTCTTCTTCTTCTTATTTTCCTCATAACACTTCTTGTATTAATTGATGAGAAATTTCATTAATATAATAGCGGCTGAGAGTTCATTGTTGTTGTTGTTGTTGTTTTTTTTTTTCATTTTTCCATATTTTATGAGCCGAACTCTTCCATGTTGTTACATTATTATTATTATTAATATTAATATTAATATTATTATTATTACTATTATTATTATTAATATTGTTATTATTTACTTTTTATTTTTACGAAACTACTCACTCGCGTCGAAGGGAATGGGCATTGATTTTTATAAGACCTGAGTCGTCA